GAAAATATATTCAAAGAAATAATGGCTGAAAGTTCCTAAATTTGGCAAAAGATACAAACCTATGGATCCAGCAAGCTGAGTGAATTCCAAAGAGTGTATTTCCATGTATTTATTGGCCACTGGTATATCTTTGGTGAAATGCCTATTCAAATTTTTTGCCCATTTTCTAATTCTCATGATTGAGATATAAATTCTTTATATTCTGGATACAAGTTCCTTATCTGATATATGATTTGCAAATATTTGCTCCCATTCTGTTGCTTATCTTTTCATTTTCTTGACGTGCATTATGGAGCACAAAAATTTTTAATTTTGATAAAGTCCAATTTATCAAAATTTTAATTTGTTGCTTGTGCATTCGGTATCATGTTGAAACCACTGCCTAATCCAAGATCATGATATTTACTCTTAGGGTTTCTTCTAACAGTTTTATAGTTTTAACTCTTACGTTTAGGTCTATGATTGATTTTGAGTTAAATCTTGTGTATCATGTGAGGTAAGTGTCCAAATTCACTCTTTTTTTTTTTAAGATTTTATTTATCCATTTGACAGAGAGAGATCACAAGTAGGCAGAGAGGGAATCAGAGAGAGAGGGGAAGCAGGCTCCCTACTGAGCAGAGAGCCCGATGTGGGGCTTGATCCCAGGACCCTGAGATCACAACCGGAGCTGAAGGCAGAGGCTTTAACCCACTGAACTACCCAGGCGCCCTCCAAATTCACTCTTTTTGCATGTAAAGAACCATTGTCCCAGTACCATTTGAAGAAAAGACTTTTCTTTTTCCCTCTGAATTGTCTCCTCACCTTTGTTTAAATCAACTGACCATAAAACAATTCTATTGCATTGAGCTTTATGCCTAAACTAATGCCAATACCACACTGCCCTGATTACCATAACTTTATAGTAACTTGTGAAATTGGGTAGTGTAAATCTTCCATTTTGTTGTTCTTCTTCAGAATCATTTTGGCTATCCTAAGTTCTTCATATTTCCCTATGAATTAAGAGGACTTTTGAGCTGAGGGAGCAAGCCATACAGATAGCTGGGAAAGAAAGCAGTCCGGGCAGTAGGAAGAAAAAGTACAAAGGCCCTAAGGTGTGAATATGCCTGTTTAAAGAACAGGTAGGAGGCCAATGTGGCACAGTGGACAGGAAGATGAGGTCAGAGAAGTAAACAATTCAGGACAGGGAGGGAGTCGATATGTAGGCCCTTGCCTGCCCCGTAAGAAATTTGGCTTTACTCTGAGTGCAAGAGTGATTAAAGAGTTTTGAGCAGAACAGTGACATGGTCTGACTCGTATTTTAACAGACTCACTGTGGTTACTACATGGAGAAATTACCAAGGAAGCAGTGACAGCAGCAAGCGGGGGAAGTCAGGAGATGCAAGAGATGATGCTGGCTTGGACTGGAGTGGTACCAGTGGGATGAGAAGAGATGAGAAGTGGTAAGCCAATAGGATTTAAGACAGAGTGGATGTAGAGTATGAGAGAGAGGAGTCAACAATATCTGAACAAGTGAAAGGAAAGGATGGCAAAGCCCAAGTCCATTGGGAGGGAGGAGAAGGTTTAAAGAAGCAGATCGTGTCAGTTCCGGACATGACCAGGTTGAGGCACTCATGAGACACTGGAAGTACATGTTTAGGTTCAAGGGAGTGGTCTGATCTAGAAAAACAAATTTGGAAGTTTTCAACACAAAGATAATCTTCATAGGTGATATATAAATCTGGTAGGAGCATGAGACTAGATGAGATCACCTGGGGACAGATAAAAAATAGAAGAGGTCCAAGAGATTGCACAATGGACGCTATAGTAGTAAGAAGCTGGGGAGATGAGATGTCACCAGCAGGGAAGCAGAGGGGAGACTGAGGGAACAAAAGCAGCTCCAAGTCTTCTGAACTATATATTCACAAGTAATCTCTCAGGGTGGGACACTTGTGTATTTCTACATCTACCGTGAACTATTGTCTCTCCTGCGTTTGGTCCCGTTATCAAGGCCCAGCTTAGAGATAGATCCTCTTAAGGCCAAAAGTCTGTAGGACTAAAGTGCGAATGATAGGCAAGCTTATCCTCTTCTGAGATATATGATGTAAGAAAAATCAGTTGTGTAAAACAAACCTCTATTTGATGGGCTGTTGTAAGGAATGAGGTCATTTTATACCAGAAAGAACTTTCTTCGTCTTCTGGGATGGAGAAACAAGCTCTTAAGGAAGCATCAATCCTCTTCTGGCCCATAAGATCCTAGAGGCCAGGAGAGTGTCTGGGGTCCAAGCACAGCTCATAATACCTTGAGCAGGTGCATACTACCATCCTTAGGCAGGGATAAGGCCAGAAGTGGGCCATGCACCTTGCTGAACACTGTCTTTAAACTCAGGTTCTGCCCTGTCGTGCCCCCTGCTTCCCCTTCCACTATCCCTGTCCCTGTTACCATTTCCTCTTCTCTCAAGCTGCAGCCTAGTCCCCCAGCCTCCTTTCTGACAAAAAGTAGGGTCAGGAACATGGAAGAAATGGAGAGTTGTTTTTTTCCACTCAGGTCTTCATAGTTCCATGAGGAACCTAGTGTCCTTATTTTCCTTCCCCTTCTCACAAACACCAAATCCCACCCCTGCCCACCAGTCAGCAAACCAGAAGGTGGCAAAAGCAGGGACTTTTCACACTAGGTCTTTTCTGCCCAGGACTCCATCCCCACACTGCCACCAATTAAGAAAGATGATAGGAAAGTGACAATGACATGAATAGGACAGAAACGTGGACAGGAAACTCATGGAAAAAAAAAAAAAAAAAACAAGAATAGTCACTCAACAGAAGAAAACAATTTTAACCCTGCAACAAAGCGCAATTTAAAATAACAATGAGACACCATTTCACCTGGCAGAGTGGTAAGTATTTGGATCCCCAGGGCTGGAAACACTAAGGGCATGTGTAGACACTACTTGTTCACGTGCAGTCCTGTCTGCTTTCTGGAGACTGGCTCGGTAACACTTAGATACCAAAACCTTGTGAAATAAGTCTGTCCTTTGACCCTTTGAATCAGTGGTTTCACTTCCAGGAATTCAGCCTAAGGAAATAATTTAGACAACGATGCAAATATGTTCAAGAATCTTTATTGCAGCATATAGTGGGGTTTTTTTAGCATATAGGATTTTTAAGGTTTGAGATCCACCTAAATGCCCACACAATGGTAAAGTGGTTTCAGTGAACTAGGGGTCATCAAACAGTGGGATACTGGCCGACCATTAAGACTAATGTTAGCCCATGTGTCTTCCAGTGGGCTGCACTGAGGACACAGCCTCACTTCGGTGGTATTCCTGGCCGCAGGTGTATAAACTGAAGAAACAACAGACATACCTAAATTTAGGAATAGTCTACAAAATAACTGACCTGTCTTCTTCAAAATGTTAATATAATGAAAGGCAAGGAATTGTGCCCATATTAAAGGATGCAGAAAGGACATGACAGCTAAATGCAAGACATGATCCTGAACCAAGAAAAATAATTCATTACTGAGGACATTATGGGGCAATTGGCAAGTTTGGGATATGGACAGTAGATTGTAGCACTGTGTCTATTTAATTTTCCTGATTTTGATAGTTGTACTGTGGTTATGTAAAACATGTTCTTGTTCTTAAGATATTCACATCCATGTGTTTATAAGTAAAGAAATACCTTGGGTACAGCTTACTCTCAAATGGCTCAGGAAAAAAAAAAAAAATCCCGTACTTAGAGAAATAATGTTAAGCAACTGTGGTCATGATGTTGATGGGTGATTCTGAGTTTTTCTGAGAATATGATTATCAGAATATGTAATACAATTCTGAGAATAATATAATTTTGAGAATTATATTCTTGCCCTTTCTCTGTCAGCTTTAAATGATTTCTAAATAAAAAGATTTTTAAGAAAAAGAAGGTACTCTGGGCACACCAGGCTGCAGCCTTGGGCACCCCAGTGCCCAGCTGGGGGCTGTGCATGGCTGTGGATGACACCTCCTGTCACCCAGACTCTCCGTTCTCAGTGCTACTAAAGGAACTCAGTGTGTGGCTGACCCCAAAGCTGTCCTGGGTTGACTCACAAAGGTAGGATGAGTCAAGGCAATGAATTGTTTTTTGTAATTTTATTTACTACAATTTTGAATTCAAAATCTGGCATTCTGGGTGGCTGGCGCCTGGGTGGCTCAGTTAGTTAAGTGTATGACTCTTGATTTTGGCTCAGGTAATGATCTCAGAGTTGTGAGATTAAACCCCACATGGGGCTCCACACTCACCTCAGAGTCTGCTTAAGATTCTCTCTCTCCCTTTCCCTCTGCCCCTACCCCTCCCCACTCTCTCTCTCTCAAAATAAATAAATAAAATCTTAAAAGAAAAAAATGGCATTCTTTGCATCCCAGGGATCTCTGTGGTAGAGGGAGGGAAGGGGAACCTACCCAAATGTAGTGTTTGTTGTGGATAATCCAGACTGCAGATTTTAGTATAAACAATGTTCATTTATCATTGATGATGTTCTTACACGTTTTCCAACAAAGGCAGGCTAAGATTTCCCCCAGAACCAGCCCAGTATCTTGCCTATTCCCCAAAAGGAGAAAACTAAGTCCCCAGCAAGGGCCAAGGTAAGGACAAGAAAGTGTCTTGGGTTCCCTCCACCAAGGTTAGTGGTTTCAACTTATGGAAAGTTGCAGATTGTCCAAGAAGCACAGATACGGACCTGGAAGAGATGTCCCAGCACCTCACACCTCTGTTTCCCGGTCCTGACCCTCCCAAGGCAAAGGGCAGCCACATTGCCATTCTCATCTCTAGAAAGGGGAGACCACACAATAAGGTTCAGTCCCAGCACCACCCCCAGCCCAGTGTTCCCCTCCTATCACCTGCCCTCCAGCCACACAGTCCCACTACCCCCTCTCCCCAGAGGTTGTCAGGGACAGAAGGCCCCTCCCTCATCCTCCTCAATGTTCCTCTCCCTCCCCCTCCCATCACTAGGGTGTCCAGGACATTGTGTGACTCAGGAAACAGCTCAGACGCGAGGCTTGCAGCAGGCAGAGAAGGAGGAAGGGGCCGTGGAGCAGAGGAGGTGGCTCCGGCCACAGTGAGGGCTCTCAGGGTCCTTGCCTGAGAGGGCGGCGAGGGGCTCAGGGTCTGGGCTGGTGCTCTGGAATGCAGCCGCCTTCACTGCTGCTGCTGTTGCTGTGTCACTCAGTCGTCAAGACCAGAGGTGAGGCATGGGGCAGAAGTGAGGGATCCCATCTTCCTTAAGAGGCTGTCGGTGGGTTGGGGGCAGAGGACCAAGCCCTGTGCTTTGAGGGGACACTGGATGGAGGAGAGTTTCACACAGGGAGGGAGGACTCTGCCCCTGGAGTTGCACAAGTCACAGAGATGGTGACTATCAAGGGAATGGGTGGGAAGGTGCCTGCCCCCAGGGAAAACCCAGCTGGCCTTGGAGCTGGGAGAAAGCAGGGCCTCACAATCGCATTTAGGAGGTGAAGAGGGGGAAAAAACAGACCACCTGCTAAGGGGAGGCTGAAACGAGAAAGCAGGAGATGGAGACACGGGAAGGTCCAGGGCTGACCGAGTCCCTTTCCCGGTCCAGCTGTCCCCAACCCCCGGATGGCTCAATGCTGGGCCCTTCCGGGAGGAAATCCCTTCAACGTCTCAGCCATTCACCTTCCTGGAGTTCCTTGGGCCCCCGTCCTGAGCCCTGCTGTCCTGCTTCCCAGGGATGGAGCCTGAGGCTGGACTTGGGAGGCTGGAGAATAAACAGGAAAGGGGGCGGGATTAAGAGCTGAAAGAATCTAGAGGCCTGGGGTTGGGAGGGGCGGAGTAGGAGGGGCTGGGGCAGGAGCACCACATGGGGACCCGGAACCGAGTGCGTGGTGGTTGCAGGCACAGGTGTGGAGCTGGTGCAGGTAGGTCCCTCCAAAGCATCCAGAGGAGGAAACAGCACAAATCTCCCCAGTCCCAAGCCGTCCTCATCTCCATCCCTAGTGCTGCACTGTGGGGACTCCCCAGAGCCCTGTGCCAACGGAGGCACCTGCCTGAACCTATCTCAGGGACAAGGGACCTGCCAGTGAGTGTGCCTCCTGGGAGAGGGAGACTGGGGGTGGGGTGGGGGGCGGCGCAGGGCAGAGGGAGGACTGGGAAGGAAGGAGAAAGGGAGGTGGTGAAGGCTCTGAAGGGAAAAGAAAGCAAAGGAAGGAGGTGGGAGAGAAGGCAAAGAGGGCCCAGTGACATGAGTCTTCTTCTCCCCCTTCCCCGCCCTCAGATGTGCCCCTGGCTTCCTGGGTGAGACCTGCCAGTTTCCTGACCCCTGCCTGGATGCCCAGCTCTGCCAGAATGGGGGCAGCTGCCAAGCCCTGCTTCCCACCCTCCCAGGCTCCCCCAGCCTTCCCTCTCCCTTGGCCCCCAGCTTCTCCTGCACCTGTCTCTCTGGCTTCACTGGCCAGAGGTGCCAGGCCCAACTCAAGGACCCCTGTTCTTCCTTCTGTTCCAAAATGGGCCGCTGCCACATCCAGGCCTCAGGCCGCCCACAGTGCTTCTGCCTGCCTGGATGGACAGGTGAGCACTGCAGGGGTGAGGGAGAGGGGACAGGCAGGAGCAGGGGCTGGGAAAGATAGAACAGGAGTCCGAGCGACAGGGAGCCCTTCTGAAGACAGAGCCTGTGAGAATCAAGAAGCTACTCTTGCTGACCATTTACCAGACACTGACCTTCACCAACCCAGTGGTACCAATGGTTAAAATGTTGAAATATTTCCAAACCCGTCAGTGAATGGCTACTGCCATCGCCCCCTTATTGTACCACCCTAACCCTTCTCCTGGCCCCTCCACCCAGCAGCTAGAGGGTTCTTGCCCAGCACAAGGTGGGGGAGGGGGGAACTCCAGGATTCTGCCTGGTGGACATCTGAATGGCCTCTCTTCTGAGAAGTGGGAGCCCGTGATAGCGCCTGGAAAATGTGCTGGTGGAAGGGATCTGGCCCAGAGAGAGGAATGGGTATCAACCCTGGGAAGAGGGGTGCAGCCCTGGGGCAAGGTGAGGGACCCCGGGGGGGCAGGGTGTGCTAGCCTGAGGAAGCAGTCGGGAGTGCAGAACAGCGGAGAACCCCTGGAGAGGAAGGCCCCTCTGACCTACGAGGATGGAAGGGACTGGACGACTGGACAGGGCAGTGGAGGCCACAGGGGTAGGAAAGTGCGCTGTGAGCAGTGGACTAGAAACCAGGCTTCTCACACTTGGCCACGCTCAGCCCCTAAACATCCCAGAGAGGCTGATTTAGTGGGTCAGGAGTGAGTCCAGGCATGGAGATTTTTTAACTGCCCAGGTAATTCTGAGGAATTGGGGGTGAGAGGCCAGGCTGTGTGACAAGCACCATCAGTGTTAACTTGCCAGGCCCCGTGCTCTGAGCAGGGGCTCTGGGCAGCCATTCTCAGCCCAACCACCAAGGAAGCGTGTGCCCTTGAACTAGCTCTCTATGTCCTTGGTTGTCTGCTGATGTCTACATACAGTTGTTGAGAAGAGGACGGGGGCCATGCTCAGGAGGGGCTGACTTAGCTCAGTGCCAGCCACCCCCCTGGCCATTGCCCCTGTGCCAGCGGCTGAGGGAGGCATCTCCTTATCATCTGGAACACTGTGCCCACCCAAAGATTAGGGAATCCGGAGGAGAGAGGCCAGAGAACTACCCGAGGGTGCACAGCCAGTGGGGGGGTGGGGGGGCAGCAAAATGCTAAGTCTCCTGGGAGTTCTCACCTCCCCACCAAGGAAAGGTGACCCAGAGTTTCTCAGGCAGGGCCAATCGGCCATACTCCCACCAACAACTACATGTCATATTTTCCAGAATGGCAAGGGGTGGTGGAGCAAGGCAAAGCGGGTATGGGAGGAAAGGGAAAGAAACATGAAAGTCAGCCACAGAGAGAAGCCAGCCTGAGAGCTGCTTTCTCTCAGATGAGCTGGGATTTGTGTAGTGCTACCGACAGCCCTCTCTGTCCTCTGGCTCAGGTGAGCAGTGTCAGCTTCAGGACTTCTGCTCGGCCAACCCCTGCATCAATGGAGGGGTGTGTCTGGCCACACACCCCCAGATCCAGTGCCTCTGCCCACCCGGCTTCGAGGGCCATGCCTGCCAACACGATATCAACGAGTGTTTCCTGGACCCGGGACCTTGCCCCAAGGGCACTTCCTGCCATAACACACTGGGATCTTTCTGGTGTCTCTGCCCCACTGGGCGAGAGGATCCACACTGTGACCTTCAGCCAGGACCCTGCCCCTCTAGTGGCTGTTCCAATGGGGGCACCTGTCAGCTGTTTCCAGGAAGAGACTCTACCTTCCATCTTTGCCTCTGCCCCCAAGGTGTGTCCTAACCCGCAGCCCCTCTCCCTGAGTAAGGAGGGCACCTTCCCTCAGCTAATCTTATGTCCCTGTCAGGTTTCACAGGCCCGGACTGTGAGGAGAACCCAGATGACTGTGCTGGCCACCAGTGCCAGAATGGGGGCACTTGCCAGGATGGGCTGGGCACCTATAGCTGCCTCTGCCCAGAGACCTGGACAGGTGAGTCATGTAAGCCAAGTCCACGGCACCTGCGACCTAGGTGGTCAGCCCCTGGCCTTCCCTCCTTGCAGGTCTCCCAGCTCCAGCTTTTGTCCCTTTCCCACCCAACCCTGCAGGTTGGGATTGCTCTGAAGATGTGGACGAATGTGAGGTTCCTGGTCCCCCTCGCTGCAGAAATGGGGGTACGTGCCAGAACTCAGCTGGCAGCTTCCACTGCGTGTGTGTGAGCGGCTGGGGAGGCACAGGCTGTGAAGAGAACCTAGATGACTGTATTGCTGCCACCTGTGCCCCAGGATCCACCTGCATTGACCGCGTGGGCTCCTTCTCCTGCCTCTGCCCACCCGGACGCACAGGTGTGACAGCAGGCCCAGGGAGGGGGCGGTAGAGATGGCAAGTGAGAGAGGCACCAAAAGGGCAGCTTTGAGCGGCCCCGGAGAGCCTCACAGCCACTCTGCCCTCCAGGACTCCTGTGCCACATGGAGGACATGTGCCTGAGCCAGCCGTGCCACGGGGAAGCCCAGTGCAGCACCAATCCCCTGACAGGCTCCACACTCTGCCTGTGTCAGCCCGGCTACTCAGGGCCCACCTGCCACCAGGATCTGGACGAGTGTCAGATGGGTAAGGCACCCCCGCCCACATCAGAGCCTCTCTGAACCCCCAAGCAGGCTCTGCAAATTGTTTTTCAAGTGAAAAATACAATCATCTCTTTTTTCCTGATTTTGCCCAGATTTGGCATCTCTTCCCTATATAGTTTTCTCACCAATGCTCAGCCCTCCAGACCCCATTTAGTCCTTCTGTGTCTTAAAGACACTGGCTCTCTCTCTAAACAGGCCCTCATGCCTTCCCTGGCAGTCTGGCCTCCTTGCCCTTCCATCCCGGGCCCCTGCGGACTCCTGACTCTTCTCTCCTCCCAGCCCAGCAAGGCCCCAGTCCCTGTGAACATGGCGGCTCTTGCCTCAACACCCCTGGCTCCTTTGACTGCCTCTGTCCCCCTGGCTACACGGGCTCCCGCTGCGAGGCTGATCACAATGAGTGCCTGTCCCAGCCCTGCCACCCTGGCAGCACCTGCCTGGACCTGCTCGCCACCTTCCACTGTCTCTGCCCACCAGGTACGAGATGCATGGGGCCTTGGGTATAGAATCAGGGGACTAATCCTGAACCCCCTGGGCATGACCCCTGCGGAATACAAACGGCCCCAGGCTAGCTAGGCTCAGTTACCAAAGAATGCTTCTCATCTCCCCACCCCAGATAAACGCTCTGGGATACCCGAGGCTCCTAGGAGAAGGGCTGCCACAGATGATAGTGAGCTTGCGCACCGCTCAAGTCTGGGTGAGGGAAGAGCATTCATTTCATAGTCATTGTAAAGTGCACAGCCTGGTCCACTGTACACAGAAGCTGCTCAAGGAAGAGCAGAACAGCAGCCTCTGCTCATGCCAACTCAGAATGTTCCTCCTAATCACAGAAACTCTCCCCTGTAGAGGCCCTTTAAATCCCAAAGGGCCTGTGGATTTGGTACAACAGGAAAAAAAGTGCCACAGGACTGTACCTACCTGCAAGCTAGTTCTAAGGGGGAGAAAATTCTCCCCAGGGACATATAGCCAATACCAGGAAGCTGAATGAAACCAGAAAAATACTAGCTTACTTCATGCCAGGAACCACCTGAGCATCTTACATGCCTTTTGTCATCTTTGCAACAATCCTATGAGGTCAGCATTGTTGCTGTGCCCATTTTACAAATGAAGAAACTGAGGCACAGAGAGGGTAAGTGAGTTGTCCAGCTAGTAAGTGGCAGGGCCGGGATTCAAACCCAGGGCTTCTGTAGATTTACCCACTACACAAAACAGCCTTTCTCAGTGGCGCAGCATCCAAGGTCAAAAGCGGAGAGAACCGTCCAGCAATCCAAGGGACAGGGATAGATGCCGAGGATCTTCACAAGCAGACTCCCCAGGCAAGAAGTGGGAGGCAGCTGAGGACTGGAGTTTAGGGTGAGACTGTGGATACCAGGAGAAGCGCAAAGATACAGGACAAATATGGGACCAACAAACTCCCCAAATGCCCTTCAAATACCCACCTTGGGGATTCCTGGTCTCCCTGGCACAGAGGCCCACTCGGGTAGAACAAGAGGCTTAAAGCACCTCTACGTAGATGCCCATTTGTCTCACTTGTACCTTGAGAACCTCCAGGCTCATTAGTCCAGCCGGGTGAGCCCACCTTCTGTGCAGAGAGTGGCCCCAATAGGTACTTCTTGCTGCCCCCATAGGTCCCAGCAGGTGCCCCGCTCCCTGAGCTTTCTCATCTGGAGGGGGCAGAGCTACACTGCAGAGCAGCAGGACCCAGGCTCATCTCTCCAGCCTGCAGGCAGAGCATACCCTGGGAGGGGCTGCCTGATGGGGACACGTGCTGGTTCTAGAACCCTGGGCAGAAGGGGTGAGCCGCCCAGGCGGGGCTGACCTGGCTGAGTCTCATCCCACACCACACCTCCATGTCCTCAGGCTTAGAAGGGCAGCTCTGTGAGGTGGAGACAGACGAGTGTGCCTCTGCTCCGTGCCTGAACCAGGCTGACTGCCACGACCTGCTCAACGGCTTCCGGTGTGAATGCCTGCCCGGTGAGTGCCGATCCCACTCCAGCCCTGTGCCCCACCCTGAACCACCAATCACCCCAAGCCTCTTGAAGCTCACTCTGGCCTGGCCAAGGAGGCCCCCATTTCTCTAGCTCCTCTGCCCCCCAAACTCCCTTCACATTCCCCAGGTCTTCCCTGTATACTCACCCATCTTCATCTCTGTCCTGACAAATCGCCCAAACTACCCTTTCTAGCCCTCCTCCAGAGTCCTCTGTGTGCTCTCCCTGCTCGTGGGGATCCAGGGCTGGTCCTGGCACCGCTCACCCTGGATGCAGGGAACATTGCCCTGGCCTTCCTCTTCCAGCTTCATCAGACCCGTCTGTTCCCTGCTCTGATGATAATGGATGTTTATTGAATATTTACTCCAGGCCAGGCACTTGGCTGTGTACTTTTCAGACATTCTTCATTTAATCCTTTCAATGACACCATGAGGTATGTTCCATTATTCCCCTTTTACAGAGGAGGAAACCGGAACCTAGAGAGCTCGAGTAGCTTGCCCAAAGTCACACAGATAGCGGGTGGCTGAGCATCATTCCCTTGTCATCTCCACCTGCCCAGGTGTCTTCTCTGGGAAGCCCTCCAGGTTCACCTTTCCTGGTGAGGGGAAGGGCTAGGACTTGCATTTATGCCTTTCACACAATATATTTTTAGCCTTGATACAAATATCCAGTTACGGCTTATTTATATGAAGAATGAACTTACCAAGTTACTCTCTGTTATGTTCTCAAACTCAAATCAGTATTTGAGAAGCCCTGAAATTGGTGCCTCATTATATAATGAAACATGTACACGAACCCCCAAACCAAGCCATCTGAAACAAGAACCTTTCCATTGCCATTTGTAGCAATGTTATTTCTATATATGTAAAGAGAAGACTCTAAGTATTAACTCTAAATTTCTTATTTAAATCCATGAAATCATACCTGTACAGCTCAGTCAGAAATATTTGTAACAAACTGCCTAATGAATCTAGAGAAAATCACTAAAAAGGAAGGAAGGAAGGAAAGAAGGGAGGGAGGAAGGAGGAAGGAAGGGAGGGAGGGAAAGAAAAGAAAAACAGACAACCTTTGCCATCTCACTGCACTCACTCCCTGCCCCACCAGGATTCACTGGGTCCCAGTGTGAGGAGGACATCAATGAGTGTGGGAGCTCTCCCTGTGCCAATGGGGGGCAGTGCCAGGACCAGCCCGGATCCTTCCATTGCGAGTGTCTCCCAGGTAAACCAGGGCTCAAACACTGGAGGAGAGAGTGGGGCAAAGGACAGACTTCTGGGCAGGCTCCTTACCCTCCTGCTGTGCCACAGGCTTTGAAGGCCCTCGCTGTGAGGCAGAGGTGGACGAGTGCCTGAGTGGTCCATGCCCCGCTGGAACCAGCTGCCTGGATCTCCCTGGAGCCTTCTTTTGCCTCTGCCCCTCTGGCTTCACAGGTCAGCCAGGGAGCATTAGAAAGGACTGGCAGGAGAGCTAAGCCCATTTGGGGTGGGGCAGAGGTCACAACTGGGCATTCGAGGGCTGGGACGTAAGAAGAGAAGGAGACGGGAACCCCTTGGAGTTATTCCATGCACAACCTGCACAACTGTACAACCTGGGGCTGACAGCAGTTGTCATCCTTAGGGCACATGCTGGGCCCAATTATGAATCATGTGTGATTAGGGTTCCACAGGAAGCCATTCACTGGCTTATTTAGCAAAAACATATTAAGTGTCTCCTCTGCCAGACACAGACACAAGCGCAATAAGAGAGTTGCTCTCCTCAACTGGCTTTAAATCTAGAGCAGAGAGACCAAGAAGTCTTGTTGGTTATGGCCCAAAGGTGCTCTGGGAGAGGACTGCACAGGATTCTATAGGAGCACAAAGGACCAGCCAACCAGACTAGAGATAAGAGGGCTTCATGGAGGAGGTGATGGCTGAGCCGAATTTTGAAGAATGAGTAGGAGTTTGTCATGATAGAGTGATTGCATGTTTTAGCTGCAGGTAACTGCATGCACAAAGGTGTGGAGGGAAAACTGAGAAGGCTCAGCAGTTATAGAAAAATCATGTCACACAGGGCCCTGTGTGTCATTCTGAAGAAGTTAGACTGTATCCTGAGGCAATAGGGAGCCACTGAAGGACAGCTTCATGGGGTATGAGCAAGTCATACATAAGAAGTGGCTTTGGCCCCATCGAGGACATGGAGGGACTCTGTTTTCTCCCTGACCCATCTCCCCACTGCAGGTCATGTCTGTGAGGTTCCCCTGTGTGTCCCCAACCTGTGCCAGCCCACGAGAAAGTGCCAGGATCGGGAGGACAAGGCCCACTGCCTGTGCCCCGACGGGAATCCTGGCTGTGCCCCCATTGAGGGCAACTGCACCTGCCACCATGGGCACTGCCACAGGTAACCTTCCAGGCCTCCCTGCGCCATCCCCCTGTCGTCCTCAGCGAGGGCAGAGCACAGCCAGTGAGCAGGGAGCCTGTGGGAAATGACCGAGAGAGAAGAGGAAGGAGATGGCAAAGTGCTGAGCTCATTGCCAATTTGAGGGCACAACTAGTGAGTGATGTCCCATGGGGGCAGAAGTCATAAATCATGGGGGGAACCAAAAGCTAGAGGGTCAGAGCAGAAAGAAAAGCATTAGATCCCAGGGCCAATTCATCATACATTAGACAAATACTGAGCATCTACTATGTGTGGGTACTTTTCTAGGGACTGGGGAAACCGCACAGAACAAAAGAGATAATGTGTCTGTTCTATTTTTTTTTTTTAAGATTTTTATTTATTTATTTGACAGAGAGAGAGCACAAGCAGGGGAGCAGCAGAGGGAGAGGGAGAAGCAGGCTTCCTGACCCTGAGCTCCTGAGCAGTCTCCTAGGCAGGGAACCCGATGCAGGGCTCGATCTCAGAACCCTGGGATCATGACCCAAGCCGAAGGCAATGCTTAACCAACTGAGCCACCCAGGTGCCCCAACACTTCTGCTCTCATGGAGCTTTCCTTCTAATAAGGAAAGAGAGACAATAAACAGTTACAGGAGAAATGTAGAGTATGGAAGGGGGATAATGCTGAGAGCAGA